ATCGTTTTCTGAACGATTGAAATGGAAGAAAATCATGTGTGATTCACCTCCAGAATAGTAAGCATCAGTTTCACCATTGAAAAATATGCTCTCGTTTCCCAATTTTTCTTTCAATACAGTAATAGGTGTAAAATGCACTTCATTGGCAATATAATCATCAACATATTTTGCTTTTGCAACTATGTAATGGGTTATATTTGTTTCAAGTATAATTTTAATCATGATGCCTTGATCAGTTTTGAATGTGGAACATCGTGAGACTGGTTCCTCGACTCGATACTGACCAATCAATATCGGTTTTAAGCAACTCCAAATATCAATCGATTTACTGCCTTTCGAGCAAACGAGTAGAGCATTACCGAAGAGAAAGTCCACATACATCAAATTATCAATATTCAATTGTAGCATGAACTTCTGATAATGCATACATTCAAAGATGATAAGCGATTGTAGTGAATAAATACATACATATTCTGGATGAGTTTTAAGTGATGTGAATTCGTTTGATGGCAAGTCATATTCTTCAAATTTACCAGACCAACTTCCAGCACTCGTGCGAACAATAATAAACTTTCCTTGAAGAAGTATAAATAAACAAAATATGCTTTGACTTATGGCATGTACAACACCAATGGTATTTTTCATCAAACACCAATCTGAAGATTGCATTTCAGTTTTAATCATACGCAATGCACAATTATATTGACATTGATAAAGTAGATTGTAGATCAATTCTGGCAATACATCAGAAAAATGAACTAATCTAGATGAAATCTCAAAAGCAAAATTGTTCGGATATTTTTCAAGGATGCCAGAAACTATTTGATATTGTGTAAGTAGAAATCGAAGTGGGACAAATGAGCTTTTAGGTGATAATCGATCACTCATTTTGTAACATTGCAGATAACTGGACATGAATTCATAGTCGTAGAAAAAACAAGGTTCATCCAAATAGTTGTCAATATTTCTGCATAATTGATTGATTCGTCTGATATTGAATTTTCGACCTTGTCTTTTGTTATTCGTTATATAGGGCACCTGTTGTGTAAGATGTCGATTGACAGAAATCGAAGAAATTCCATGATTTTTTTCTATTAGTTTTCGAGACTTAATTTCAAATGGTTGAGTATGTAAATTAGGAAAACCCAGAATATTGCCGGCAAAGTAAGCACGTCGAACGAGTTCAATTGCTTTGGTTTCTTCATCATCTAATATTTTATATTCACGAAAACTACGATGATAACTACATGAGAAAATACGTGTAATCAAATCTTAATCAATCGTGATACACTCGGAGAAATTAGCATTTTCAATTTTCTAGATTTTTCTTATTCGATCTAATCTCTAGCAATTTAAACTTCGCAACTGTTTTGTTCAATATTTAATAATCAATTACATCGAAAATCCCGAACTAATTATATTCATATTGGAACAAAGGATCTGACAATCTATATAAATATTGTCAATTTTGTAAGCTTATCAACCTTTTTCTTGACGGAAAGAGTAAAGTCTGAACTACAAATATTTTATCAAACTTTTTTCCAGAATGAATCTACAAAGCAGGAGAAGTCAAAAATCAATTAAGTTGCGGGATTTTTAAAACAGTACAGCTGTTGCTAGACGACATTGTATAACTTAGTCTTTATCTTAAAGAAGCAAGAGCAAATCTTTAAAAAAAAAATTGTCAAAGCTGACGTCATTAGAACTTTTGATGTACTACATTTCACTGTACTTTTTTTAGAATTGGATCTATGAAGTTCAAGGCAATTCATGTTTGGTATTTGGCTTCTCTTGCCCGTAGATTCGTTCAGGAATAACAAGTCTGGTTTAAAAAAATTGTAGTTCAGAGTTTGCTCTTTCCAACACTACAGAATTTGATAGGATTAGAAGTTAGCAATAGGGTCTAACATAGTTCGGCATTTATCTAAAGACTGTACGTCGCATATGTTATAAAGATAAACAAATGCCAAAAAATTGAAGTCATGTACTCCTGTCATTGCCGAATTAATAATTGTTATTTATCGAAAATTATCTCAGTTGTTGGATTCGACTTTGTCAAAAAAAGAAACGTATTCACATTTTTTGAACTACGTAAGTACTTAATGTTTGATGCAATCGTTAGGAATTCTAATCAAATAGGCAAATGAATACTTTAGATTGAAACTCGCTATATAGAATGTACTCACAAATAGATAACAGAGGCATTATCAACATCTTTTTCCACGAAGTATTTTTGCATTTCGTTGCGGATACGAATCCATAGAGTACTCGGTATTCGAAAGATGTTTACTGGTGGAAGATAGTGGACAAATATGGCTTGAAGAACTCTATTATCCGCACTCAACATATCTTCGAGTTCGATCTCAGTGAGACCACCTCCTTGTTGAAGATAAGCCATCGCTCGTTTAAAAAACACTTCGTTGTGCTTCTTCGATAATTGAGAATACAAATAGTCTATGGCATCATTAGTTGTTTTTATATTCAAGAAAGCTTCGTCGGAATTTTCATCATAAGAATGCCATGTAAGCGTCATATCGTATATCAAGGATAGAAACAATGGGGTAGGTTCCGATTCCGTAGTAAACAATCCAGTGTAAACAGTACGAGACTGAAGTTTTGGCTGTAACCAATTCATTTGAAGTGAAGTAAGACATTGATGATCACGTTTTAACCATGACTGAAATACATTTTCAGCCAAATCTTCGTCGAATACGGCTATCTCAATCATTGGAGCATCGCTGAGTAGTGATTTTAATCCATGAAGAATTTCATACTTTTCCGGAGGATCTTTTTTTTCATCAGAAATCATTGGTATAGTAGATAATATACACTTGATATTCTGTGGATAGTTGATCGGCAACCATTTTGAGCAGTCGTAGTCTTCAATTTGTAGTTGATCGATAGAATCAAAGAGAAGAACAAGTGTTTCATTTGTCGGAATTCGAGTCAAAATTCTTTCAAATATTTTCTTTAATTCTTCAGTTTTTGTTGATTCACTGATAGAAGAAAGTTCAATATCATAGATAGCACAGATCTGTTTCATCATTGAGATTAGCGGTTGACGAATGTCACTTGATAACGGTGTTGTACCAAGAAAACGTAATATGATGGAGACGGAGTTCGTCTTTGAAAACCATGTCGATGCCTTCAAAGTAAACTAGATGCAAGATCTTATTAATGAAATACTGAAATCACCTTGATTGCCACTTCAGCGATAATAGAAGATTTTCCCGTGCCCGATTCACCATATATTATGCATGGTTGGGATTCATTCGATAATAAAAAAGTTTTGATCTATAGAATATGACTATGAGATCTATTCTATGAATTATCATTATTCACCTGTGAAAGTATGTTATCACGTGGAAAATATCGTTCACTAAGCATTCTGCACTGAATTGCATGTTCCAAAACTTCGTCGTACAAAATATCTTTTGGTCGGCTTTGCTTCATGTGATAATCGATTTGATTTTTTATAGCAGTGTAGAAGTCTTCTTTAAAATCAGCCAGATATTTCATTCTGCTTGATTCATCTGTCCATTTAACCTGAAAAAGAATGTGATCTATCTCAATAGTTCGATAGCTTCTTTGAACAAACTCGATATGTAAATATATTATTCGAACCAAGTTCAGTTTCGATAAAAGTCTTCAAATCTGTTAGTAGTGATTCACTATTTTCATCATTTGTATCGCTAAACTTCACTTTGAGTTTCGAGTCAAAATGATCTATATCTTCTATTTCACGAAAGAAAACAACTATGCGTTGCAGTTGATTTTTATTGTTGTTCAATGCTCGATAAATTTCTTTTGCTGTTACTAAACATTTTGACATGCATATCGAACGAAGAACTTTGATTGACTCACCTGATATGTGAAATTCATTTCTCTCATATTCGCTTAACGTTTTGTTTTCTCTATAGCAAATATCAGAGGCTTGACGCAAGATCTTTTGAAGTTTCTTATTTGTTGCATTCCATTCATTCTTTCTTTTTGAATCGATGGGCTGGAGAACATAGACAGGATCAAGTAAATTTTCGTCCAATCGATACGCTTGATTGAC